ATTAAAAGATGATTATATTTTCTTATATATATACTATTTAAAGTGGTGGAGTTTATTAAAAAATTAAAAAGGTTAAAAAAAGAGAAAAGAGTAAAAAATTGAAAGCAAATATTAAAAAAATCATAGAAAACAAACTTTTTTTAAATATTTGAAAGAAGTATAAAATCTGCTAACCATTTAATGCACAGTTTTATTTTAAAACACCAAGTTTTTACTTTTTTTGTTTACATATTTAAAAATACTTAGCATTAAATAATTAAAATGGTCTCCAACTTAAGTAAGTTATTTGACTTTATTTGCCAACATAACCGGACTTACAAAGTACTTGCAAAATGATAAAAATAAAAAAAAAAAAAAAAAACTGAATCCGAACATTTTTTTTTCTGTGGATTATATGGTAAATCCTAAAGTTTTACAAGTTTTCAAAAATGCTGGTTACATATCAGTTTTTAATTTTAGCAGTAAACTAATAAAATTATTAGAGAAAAATAAAGTTTATGTCACAACTTCATTTTGCAAACAAATAAAACTACTGCAATTATTTGTTTTTTAAAATAGTTTTCTATATCATAGTTGATAACAAGGTTAACTATTCTCCCTCGTAATATTGTAAAAAAAAGCATTTATTAATAAAGAGTTCAAATCATTTAGGTTTTGTGATTTTGTTTTTCCTCTCTTTTTTATTTTATTATATTTAGTGAGATAAATGCAATTGTTTTTTTAGCTTTAGATGTCTCTGACTTTCCATCTTACACCCTATCAAATAGCTTATCTTCTGACGAATGGAATGTATTAAATAAAAGATATACTCTAACTAAAAATAAGTTTAATGTAAGTTTGTATCCTTTTAAAATATTACTGATTTAATAAAGTTGATGTATATAATTATATATATATATATATATATATATTATATATATATATATATATATATATATATATTATATAATAAATATTATAGATATATATTTATATATATATATAATATATATATATATAATATATATCCTATATTATAATATATTATATATATATATATATGTATTATATGTATACTATATATATAATATATAGTATATATATATATATATATATATATATATATATATATATATATATATATATATATATATATATATATATATATATATACATATATATATATATATATATATATATATATATATATATATTATATATATATATATATATGTATATATAATATATATATATATATATTATATATATATATATATATAATATAATATATATATATTTATAATATATTATATATATATATATATATATATGTAATATATATATATATATATATAATTTATATACATGGCCATAGAGAGGGGGGGTCAGGGGTATATTATCCTAGGGCCCGGCTCTGTTCAAGGCCCGGACTTGTGAATTATAAAGTATTATATTTTCCTTTTTAAATACACCGCATTCGGATTGGTTGTTTTAATTACAGTTTTTAACATTAGTATCACCGTAAACGTTAAATTTAAATGCAAAACATAATAAATAGTTTATAAATTTTATAAGCTAAGTTATTCGGAAATGAATCAATAGGAAAATATCTCAAGAAAAAAATTATGTAGTAAAAAATATACTTTGAACACATTATTTGGAAGCATTTATAGTTTGTATAATTCGAGTACTTTAGATCATTTGCAGAACATTAAATCACTTGCTGCATTTTAAAATAAAAGACAAAGAATGCCAGAAAATTGTCTATTTGATTCTACAGTTTAGTTTATTTTTATGTTCAAGTTTAATAAGTTGTATATGGAGTTTTGTTATAAGGTATAAAACATTCAATTATAAAAATTGCTTTATCTAATAAATTATATGACACTTAAGATCAGTAGCAAATATTTTTTGCGACTGGGGCAAAAATGAAATAAATGCGCTTTTTTACAAAAAGTTAAGAAATTATTACATTTTATGTTAAATTTGGTTTCATTTTTTTTTTTTGACTTTCCAGATCCTGATAACATAGATATAAAGGATGACGTGGAGCCCGGCAATCTTTTAGTTCCTATCAACAATATCTCTGAAAATTCTAAATCAAATATAACCGATAATAAAATTACTAAAACAAAACTTCTTGACTTTGATGTTAGTAGTCTAAAAAATGAAAGACCAAATACTTCTGAAATTGAGGAAGCTGTTCGTAGGGGTCCAGAAAAGATCCCATCTCAATTTCCAAAAGATGTGAACGGACATTCATTTCCTGTTTGTATGTTACATACAAGTATGAAAAATGGAGAATATGTTCCTTGTGATTGGCTTGTTTGGAGCAAAGTTAAACAATCGATATTTTGTTTTCCTTGTCGCCTTTTTAGCAAACTACCAAGAGCAAGTCGCTCACGTTTAACAATTATATCTGGGTATTGTTTTCAAAGAAAATGGAAAAAATTACATGACAAAATTCCAGAGCATCAAAACAGCAGCAACCATAAATATTGTTATATTAAATGGCGACTATTGGAAAAAAGTATTGATTCTAATTCCACTGTCGATATTATGCTGCTGCAGACCATTAAGAATCAAGCATCACAGTGGAAACAGGTTCTTCGCGGAATTTTAGATGTCACATTGTTTCTAGCCGAACGAGGTTTGGGATTTACAGGAACAAGTGATTTAGTTGGAGTTGCAGCAAATGGCAATTTTTTGGGCATTTTAGAGCTCTTGAGCCGTTACGATTTTGTCTTGAAAGACTATCTGAACAAAGTGATGAAGTCGCAGAAATTGAAGAGAGGACAACAATCAAATTACCTTTTACCGGAAATACAAAATAAGTTTGTAGAGTGTTGTGCCAAAAAAGTATTAGACGTTATTCTAAGTGAACGAGAAACAGCAAAATATTACTCAATACTTGTTGATGCAACCCCTAATTTAGCACATATGAAACAAACTGTATTTATATTGCGATATGTTTATTTAAATGAAGAAAATAGTCTATACGAAGTTCAAGAGCGATTTCTAGAGTTTGTTGACTGCAATCGGAAAACGGGGAAAGCTATTGCTGAATTAATTTGAAGTGTTATTAAAAAACACTATATACCAATGAAAGACTTTCGTGGTCAAATTTACGACAACGGTAGCAACATGAACGGTCAATATAAAGGAGCACAAGCAGAGATAATAAAAGAGAACCAATTGGCAATTTATACTCCTTGTGCTTGTTATAGCTTAAATCTGTGTGGTGTCCATGGCGCAGAGTGCTGTGCCGAGGTTATAAACTTCTTCGGTGTTGTGCAAAAGATTTATAACTTGTCAAGCTCAAGCCCGCAAAGATGGCAAATGTAAAAAAAAAAATATTGAATGCTCTTTGCATAGCATGTCAGATACACGTTGGTCAGCCAGGATTAAAAGTGTAAAACCTTTTGCAGAACATATTCCTGGTTTAAAGAGTGCTATCCAAGACTTAAAGAAGTTAAATCTTACTGCCGAGACTCGAGCAGATATTAAACATATTGAGAAATACTTGGGTTCATTTGAGTGCATTATACTCGCAAGCACTTGGTTTAAAGTTCTAACAAGCATCAATTACAGAAACACAGTTCTGCCAGCCAGAAATGCAACCTTAGATGTGGAGGTTTTAAATTTAAAAAGTTTAATTGATGACCTCTTATTATTGAGAAACAAATGGGATTCAGTTTTAAATGAACTTGTTGCCAAAAATCTGTGTATGGTTTCCAATGACATATTTGCGGAAAAAAAAAAAGTAGCCGAAAAGCTTGATTTTCAGATGAGGAACAGAATAATAAATTAGGCAACACCAGAGCAGAATTTTGTTTCAAGCGCGATGTTTTTTATGTTCTTTTAGACTGTGTCATTGGTAATATGAATCGGCGTTTTGAGGCAGCCAAAGATCTTGAGGAAACATTTGGTGTTGTATGAAAATACATGACATTAGATAAAGATCTGCTGGGTAAAAAAGCTTCATCTATTTACGTTAAATACACCATTGATGTTTCTCTTGGTTTAATAGACAAGTTAAAACATTTAAAGGCAATTTACGCATCAAATCTTGGCAAAATACAATTATCGTCGTTTCAAATATTAAACAAACTCCATGAGTTGAAGCTTGATTCTCTTTTCCAAAACATTTTAGTTGTTCTTAGAATTTTTTGTACACTTTCAGTTACCGTTGCACAAGCAGAACGCTCTTACAGCACGTTCTACGATGTGTCAAGATCGACTTTCAAATTTGGGAAGACTAGCGATTGAGGCGCCACTAGCAAGGAAACTAGACTTTGATGCAGTTATCGAACATTTTGCAAGCAAAAAATCTCGCAAAGTTTATTTTGGTTAATTGCATTACAATTAAATACAATTATTTATTTTATTATTATTATTATTAATTAATGCTGTTGAGATAAAGCGCCAGGCAATATCTACGACAGCCGGTATAAATTAATTAATGAACAAGTTAGTTCAGTCACTAAATAATAAAAAAACGTTAATAGTAAGCTTTCTTGGTTTTTATCTTGTTTGTTATTGCTTCTAAGTCGACCGATTGCAAGTTTAATTTGAAGCTTTTAACTGTAGTAGATTGAACAACTTCGGCTGGTAGACTATTACATCCATCGACAACTCTATTGCTGAAAAAATATTGCCTTTTCAAACAATTTCTGACCAATTCAGGTTTCATTCGTTGTTTTGCTCCTCTAATGTTAGCTGCAGGACCTGATGAGCGAATAGAGTTCATTGTTTGATTTTGTTTAATATCAATGATTTCAATACCTTTAAATATTTTGAATTGCTGGATTAAATCGCACCTTAGCCTTCTAGTCTCCAAAGTAGTTAAACCCAAAATTTCCAATCTTTTTTTGTACTCAAGATGTCTAAGCTCCGGTATCATTTTAGTAGCTTTTCGTTGGACTTTTTCTAGTTCATTAATATCTTTTGTATAATATGGACTCCATGCTTGAATTGAAAACTCTAAATTTGGTCTAACATATGTACAATACAGTGTTTTT